TGCAATATATATATATATATATATATATATATATATATATGCCAACTCTATTTTGCAAAGTAGGTAAATTTTAAAAATTCTTTCTACTACCATTGTAATTTCATAAGGAAAAGGGGATTTCACACATAACAGTGTAGGAAGGACGTGACCTCAGAATAAAGCTATGTCTTCACAGGAAAGGACAGCTGGCAAATCTTTCACTGGGACACACACACACACCCACACACACCCCTATACTACTCACACCCTTGTTATTCAGAGTTCCCCAAGAACCACTGAACACTTCCTAATGACCAGACTCTCCCTACAGACAAGTCTGTCTGTGCCCACAGAGCAGCCGCCTCTCTTCCCCGGACACACACTGACCTGGACATCTCCACGGGCATCTGCTTGGCTTTAAAAGAGAAAGAGAAAAACCAAAGTCAGTACAAAGTGTCCATGTCTATAACAGATAGGAACCCTCATTTCAACCACATTTGACTTTCTTGAAGATTGGTTAACCATAAAAAGAGAACAGAAAGCCAAATATATTTCCACTTTTAAAAAAAGGGAAAAACAAAATAAAACAAAACAAAAAAAGCAGGCCTTCTCTCAAATTTATTCTGAGAGATTTCACATCATTTCATCCAGAAATATGACATTTTGTTGTGTTAGCCAGGAGCTGTTTTCTTTAGTGGAACAAGGTAGAGTGAAGACAATGGTACAGGAACCAGATTAGCCAGATAAAAAGGCAACTTTTTAAAAAATATGGTTTTTAAAAATTGATTACAGAGAGAAGAAGGGAAGAGAGATAGAAACATCAATGATGAGAGAGAATTATTGAGGGGCTGCCTCCTGCATGCCCCTTACTGGGGATGGAGACCACAACCCAGGCATGTGCCCTGGCTGGGAATCGAACTTCAATCTCCTGGTTCCTGAGTCAATGCTCAACCACTGAGCCATACCGGCCAGGCAAAAGGCAACTTCTTGTTTCAAGACAGTTCCAAAGAGTAAAGGCTACATTAATCCTTGTGCTTTGAATTCCAAGCTGGCCTGAGAACGAGTCTGTCCTCTAACCTTGTCTGTTCTGCGATGGCCCGGTTCCCTGAGAAGGGGTTTGTTCTGGAACCTGTCTTTTCAGAGGGATTTCCTGTTCTAGAAAAAAAACAAGGCCCCTTCTTATCTAATCTGTACCCTTCCCCAGCAGCAACACCAAGGCTCCAACAAAAACCGCCTTATCCCACACAAATCTTGGCAGAAGATACTGGTGCTGGGCCCTTTTCCTTGAGTCCAGGCTAAGTGGCTGTGATGCCAGAGTATCGACAGGTGGTCCTGGCTTCCCTTCCAGGTTCCATGTGTGGCTAACCTCAAGCACAGGGTAGAAATCACGGCACAACAGACAGATTAATTGGGGCGCATTCAGTGTATGTGGGGGTGTCTCCAAAACACTCTCACCCCACTCTGCCACCTGCAGGACTAAATGTGGCCAAACCCACAGAGACAGCTTCTTCTGACCATACATAGATGGGACTTTCCCCCGAATTCATTTTTTCTGGATTGCCCAACTAGAAAAGCAACCGCTTTCCTTTATGCCTAGCGAAATCCAGGGGCAGTAAAAGCTCCACACCCACCGAAGCCAAGATCTTTGGTTATCAAGGTGACACCGAGAAGAACAACTGTGGTCAGTTACATCTCCTGAGCTCCCGCTGGGGCAGAACACAGCCGCCCCTAAAGCTGCATGAAGCCCCTCACATCCATGGCAGTTTCCTGGCAAGAGCAACCTGTCAGAAGGCAATGAAGAACTGTGCTCACCCTTGGCTTTCTTCCAAAAATAGTATCTGGCCCCAACTGCCAAGATGGCAATTATCACTGCGATGACAACCACTGCAATAACTCCTTTCTTCCATGGGGCAAGAAAGACTGGAAATAAGAAAAATTAAAATAGTAGGTTTTTTTTCTCTGCCAGCAAGAAACAATATTAGCCTTAAGCAACAAATAAGACTGATTTGTAGCTTCTGTAATTGCATCTTATACCAAGCATCTACCTCTGAGGGATTCTGTGTTCAGAGTTGGTGCAGAAATGATTGTTCTTGCTGCGGAGTCAGCATCGCCTTAAAGAACTAGAGGACTAACGTAGCCTTTCTGGGTCTGTGTGGTCCTCCTCCTTCTCTAGGAAACCACCCCCTTTATTCACATAGGTGGGCTTCTCTAACCCTCTCTGTTCTGCATGACCCAATCCCCATGGCCACGGGTGGCTCATGGGGAGATGTTTGGCCTAAAGTGGGCCATCTGCTACCTCTCCACCAAGAATTTGGAATTACAACTGTGTGAAATACTTCCAATTCCTTGTAATACTTCCAATTCCTCTTTTATATTTAATTTGAGTTGGTTTCTGTCACTTACGACCAAAGAGCTTGGAGGACATTGGTCTCGTTGCCCTCAGTAATAAGCACTGAACCCCACCCACTTCCTCTTACAAATGGTGAGCTTGCTGGCCTCACCCTTGGTGGCCACATTCCATCTCACTGTTGAGACCGTGACTCACCTCTGACAGTCAATAAGTTGCTTTGGGGGATATTTTTGGCAGGGTTGGCTCTGTTGGAGGCCGTGCAGTAATACTGTCCCCCCTGTTCCGTGCCAGCCGGTGACTTGTACCACATGGCCTGGGTTTCATTCGAGATTTTTACGTGGAAGGGCCTGACGTCCTCTTCTCTGTAAAACTTGTAGGTGATTGGACCAGATGCTTTGTTCACAAAGCATCGAAGCACAAGATCATCCCCAGACTCCACTTGTTTATTATTCAGGATAGCAAGCTTGACCTCAACCACTGGAGCTGAAAAGCAGGAAAAGGATTAGCACTGAGAAAAGACAGGAGGTTGGGGATTGAGGGGTGAAGATCATGACACAGCCACCGCTCATGGCTAACCTGCACCTACACCGTGACTCAGACTTGGATTTTGTCTCTCCTCTTAGCCCACATTCTTCAGTTCCTCCCCCAATTAGTCCAGCAGGGCAGCAACAGATGCCTCCTGTCCTCATGTGTTGATTAAACACGATGTTTCACTTACCACCCCAAGGATTACTGACTACTCAGCTTGACTATACCCATTTCCTTGTGTGTTCTGTAGAGGTCTATTCTGCATGAGTCTGTGCATGTGCACCAGTGTGAGTGTGTGTGTGTGCGCGCGCGAGTGTGTGGTTTCTTTGCTTACAAAGATACATGGCATTTCCAGCACTAAATAACAAGTAACTTAAAAACATAGAAGATGTCTTTTTTTAATATGCCCTAAAGCATTAGTTGCTTCATGTATATGGATGTTAATTTGAAAAGTATGGCTATTCTTAGACCATATATTAATAGTAGCAGGAATCTCTATCCAACTCAAGATGTCCACATGGCACATGTAGATAAAAGCTATTAAACCAGAAGAAAGAGGAGGAAGAGAAGGGAGGTTTATATGCTTTTTACAACAGGATGCAGACTATCTCAGAGATGCAGGCAATGGCACTCCAAAGGCTGAGAGACATAGATAGAGACTCAAGGAAAAATATCCACCCAGGACAATAGGTATATGAGTCCCAAGCCATTGTTAGCATGTCCTGTGAGACTACAGCCTGCAGCTCTAATGACAGGTTCTCACCCTTGTCAGGCAATGGGTCAACCACAGAGAAGAGCTCTGGTCAACAACGCAGATGACTGGCAGTTCACCTAAAAAGGAGCAAATGCTAAGAGAGCCCAAAAGCACAACTTTAGAGCTTCCTGAAGTCAGGATACTTCACTCTTATGTTCACTTGAAAGGTTCTGAAAAGAGAGGGCACTGGGCACACCAATAGCCCCCAGATAGTTTCTGGCTCCATTGACCTGGGTGTTGTCCTGCTTGGCTACATGTTATATTTATGGACTTGGCATAAGTACCACCCACTTCTCTTGTCCACACCATCCCTGTGTAATCCGAAACCTTTGAAAATGTGACCTAAAGCCCACACCCCACATGATAACTTTTTTTAAAATCCTCACCTGAGGATATGTTTAAAGAGAAAAAGGAGGAGGAGGAGGAGGAGGAGGAGGAGGA